CAGCACGAGCCAGAGGACAACGGCACGACCGCCGAGCAGCCGCAACCGCTGGAGTCACAAGTGGACGGGAGAGTGAACGCAGCAACAGAGCTGGAGTCAAAGGCGGAGCCACTCAGGAAGAAGGAGCAGCCGGAGCACAATGACAGCCAGGCGGAGCCACTCAGGAAGGAGGAGCAGCCGGAGCACAATGACAGCCACAGCAATTTGCAGCAGCAGCCGGCTGTCAGCCCGACTCCGACAACACCAAGGCAGCCGGAGGCCCAACTGGACGGAACAAAGAAAACAGTAACAGAGCAGCCGCAGTTGGAGTCAGAGGTACAGCCAGTCAGGAGCCAGGCACGCGTGGTTTCGGACTACCTTGCTGATGCCTAATGGAGTTCCCATTTGTCACCTATCAAACCCCGGCCAACTGACAATGATGGCAGGAGCCCTCTGCCAACCGTGGCCCCAACAGTGATCGTAGCGCAGCCGGAGCATAGCCATGGCTGCAGCAATCTGCAGCAGCAGCCGGCTGTCAGCCCGACAACACCAGCGCAGTACCAACAAGAGGACAACAGCACGACCAGCGAGCTGCAGCAGCAACAGCAGCAAGCTGTACAAGTTCCTGTACAAGCGCAGGTAGTAAAAGAAAGCAAGGAGCAAGAACAGCGGCCACCGGAGCTGCAGCCCCAGTCAGAGGCAGGGTTACTGGGAAAAGAGGAAACAAAGACAAAGACCAAGCAGTCGGAAGCCAGCAGTCTGCAGCAGCAGCCGGCTGTCAGCCCGACAACACCGGGGCAGTTCGAGCAAGAGGAGTGCAGACAGCAGCAACCGCCGGAGTCACAACTTGACGTAACCGTAGACGAAGCTGCAGGCAAAGAGCAACCTCCGCAGCCGCAAACAGAGCTTCAGTCAGAGCTGTTCAGCAAACAGGAGGAAAGAAGGCAGCACGCGTTTGGTGGAGGAAAACGCATTGCCGGAGGAGATGTTGCGAGACTTGGACATCCTAGCCGATGCACTTGATGAGAAAAGAGCGGACCACGCTACTGCGCACAACCGGCTGTCAGCCTGGAAGCAGGACGACGAGTACTTTGGTGTTTTGCGGCCAGTGGTCAGAAATGAGCACTGGTCTGCGCTCGTCCAGCAGTTTTCCGCCCCAGCCTCCGCCGCCTCGACCTCTGCCTGCCTCCGTTCTGCTTTCAACAAGGTGAACGGGAACACGTCGCCAGTGTCAGAACAGGACAGAGGCGAACTTGTGGGCGCACTCCAGGGCTCGGCTGAGCAACCCGCCAATTATGACTATCTGAATAGCGTGTTGTGCGGTCTGCAGCTGTTGGCAGAAGAAGCAAACAAGCAGCAAAAGGACTTTGTTCTGCGCGTTTGCAAAGACATTTGCGGCCGTGGTGTGTCTGCTTCAGATTTTCATGGGGATGAGGATTTGATGGAGCAGATGTTCGCGAAAGGTCACTGGGAAGTTTCGGTTGTGAAGAACGCAATTTCAGAGAGTGCAGCAGAGCAGCAACACAAGAACACGGTGCTGCAAACCTGCGAGAAGCTTGCGGCAGCGAGCAGCAAAGTTTGCCTGTGGCATGGGTTGCTGAACGCCATACTGACTTTGGCCAAGACGGCGCAGGAGCATGCGGACAATGGGTTGGATGCAAACGTCCAGAACAATTTGGTGCAGTGCTGGAGTGAGGTGAAACACCGACTGCAGACAGACCCGGAGATAGCCGCAGCAGCTCAGCCCGTCAAGGAGGCCTTGGAGAACTTGCTGAACGCCACGAAGACTGAGCAAGTGGGACCTCAGGTCTACGAAGGCGCCATGACGGAGCTCCGGCTGTCAGCCATGGAACTGCTGAGGCTTGCCAAAGAGCGCCGCAAGCCAGAAGTGCAGAAAGCTGCTAGCAACTTGCGAAAACTCGAGCATCGCTGCATGCAGTGCTGGTCGCTGTCAGACACGCCGGTCTTCGCTAGGTCTTGCGTCAGCCTTGTCACAACCGAGTTTGCCAGTGTGTGTGAGGTATTGCCGTCCGCTGCCAGCGAGCAAATACCGGATGATATTTTGAACAGCTCGGTTATGCAGCACTTGCGAGCCGCCAATGACAAGGAGGCCAACAAGCAGAAGCTGGTGCATGTGCTGCACTCTAGCGGCTGCGAGCAGTTCTTGGAGCAAGCGTCCAAGCTACTGGAAAGGCTGGAGCCACTTTTCACAGCTAAGAAGGTGTCACTTGAAAAGCTCCTCGTGGAGGCTGCTGCCAGTGCAAAAGCCAAGCTGGTTAATCCCCACATGGGCATGGATGAGTTCTTGCAGTCCGCAGCCTCTGGTGAAGCTATCAAGAAAGCCTTGAAGCAACTGCGTGCAGCGGAAAGGGACATGCAAGGCCACGGCATGCTAAAGGACAGCTCTGAGCTGCAGCGCGACGTCTCTGAAGTCAAGGCGTCTTGCCGTTTGCAGATCATCAAATGGGGAATCGTGACTTTGGTCGCCAATGCCGACATCGTGGCGGACAACAGCAAGGGGAAGGGCCTCAGGAAAACTTTGCGGGACGTCTGGAACAGTCATTGTGATGATGGTGATGTCAAGAGTGTCCTGGGGCAGGCGGTAGTGGACTTGGTAGAGCAGTCGTTGGCGACACCAGAGAAGACCGAGGACACCGGCGCCGTTGCGCCCAAGAAGCGTGGTAAAAAAAAGTAGGTCTGCGGCTGACAGCCAGCGCCACGACGACTACGAGTCACTACACGTCCGGTTGACAGCCAGCCACCTGCCAACTTTGCGCTGCAACGTCCGGCTGACAGCCAGCTCCTGCGAGCTCTGCGCTGCTGCGTCCGGCTGCCAGCCAGGCACGGCGAGTTCTGCGCTGCAGCGTAGAGAGTCTGAGTCGTTTTTGAAACTCCTCCTTTTCCTGTCGGCCCGGTTCCTAGCCCGTAAGTGCGACAGCGTTTCAAGCTAGGCTAAACCGCAAAACCTCACACTCAGCCGGGCTGTCAGCAAGGGGGGTTGCCGACGTCACTGTCACTGCGAGTTGTGTGCAGAAGAAATGAGTGCCAGGGATTCATGAGTCATTCGTCATTAAACAACTTGCTTAATATTAATATGAATATGTAATATTAATATTCATATAAATATTAATATTAATATTAATATTAATATTAATATTAATATTAATATTAATATTAATATTAATATTAATATTAATATTAATATTAATATTAATATTAATATTAATATTAATATTAATAATAATATTAATATTAATACTATTAATATTAAAATTGAATATATAAAGAAAAAATTTGTATGAAAAGTGTATGATTATATTTATTTTATTTATTATTGTTACTATCTAAAAAATTATATATATATATATATATATATTATATATATATATATATTATATTATATATAATAATAATAATAATAATAATAATAATAATAATAATAATAATATACATATTAATTTCCGGAATTTCCGGCAAATCATGAAATTCATGAAAGCCGAATTTCCGGAAATTCCGGCAAATCCTAAAATTCATGAAATCCGAATTTCCGGAAAATCACGAAATTCATGAAATCCGAATTTCCGGAATTTCCGGCAAATCATGAAATCCATGAAACCCGAATTTCTGGAATTTCCTGCAAATCATGAAATTCATGAAATCCGAATTTCAAGAATTTCCGGAAATCATGAAGTTCATGAAAGCCGAATTTCCGGAATTTCCGGAAAATCATGAAATTCATGAAAGCCGATTTTCCGGAATTTCCGGAAAATCATGAAATTCATGAAAGCCGATTTTCCGGAATTTCCGGAAAATCATGAAATTCATGAAAGCCGATTTTCCGGAATTTCCGGAAAATCATGAAATTCATGAAAGCCGATTTTCCGGAATTTCCGGAATTTCCGGAAATTCATGATATTGGAATTATCGGAATTTCAGGAATTTCCGGAAATTCATGATATTCGAATTACAGGAATTTCAGGAATTTCCGGCAAAACGAGCAACATGAATTTCCGGATGGACGCTAGACCATCTTCCAGAAGCAAGCTCTTGGATTCACACAATATATATACTCCGATTATAAATACTGTTCCCTTATAGTTGTACCCTGCTATAACATGCTGGGTACCTTCAGCCCCCGTTCTGTTTATTTCGGGCGCTGTGTCACACCAGAGCCGAGAAAGCCGGCAGTTAGCGGCTCTTCTTCAGATCGTGAGACCATGCCAAATACGCTGGTGCTGACGGTTTGGAGTTTTGGGTTTGGGGTGTAGCATGTAGGGTTATAGTGGTCCTCAAATGTCACACAATACAGTTATGACTTACTCCTCACGGCGGTGCTACCGCGATGCTTGATGTTGCGGCTTGTTTACAGTTGCTTCGGCGGTGTTGGTGGTTGCGGTGCTCGCAGTCAAAGTGGTTCCTGCGGTTCGCCAGCGCAGGTGACTACCCATAGGCACCATAGTAGTTCCTTTCGGGGGTTACCTTATACAATTCTATATGTGAACCGCAAGAAGGAACTACTTCGGGGCCTCCGGGTAGCCTAATCGCATGAATCTCATCATGTCTTGCGGTTAAGAGCCCATGCAGTGCCCGAAGTGCATGACTTGCAGTATCAGAGCTTCCGTAAACGATGTAGGCCAACCCTGAACTTGAAACACCAAACCCCATACGGTTGATGATATAAATCCTGCATTACCCATTATAAGGAATATATCATAATTCCCATAGCTTCGGGTCCTTAAGGTAATGCAGGATTTATATCATCAACCGTAGTTAAACCCTAAACGGCCCCAAACCCTTGAGAACCTCAAGGCTCTTTATCTGTCTTTGTGCGTGTAAGGTTAAGGTTGCAACGTTGGGCCCTGGAGTTTACCCAGAGGCCCCAAAGTAGTTCCTTTTTGGGGTTCACATATAGGATTTCTATAAGGTAACCCCAAAAAGGAGCTACTATGGCGCCTATGGGTAGAGTGCCGAACAAATGACGATCTTCGCAAGAAGAAGATGCGGTCCTTTGCCGCTGCCAGGAATTGCGAGGACGTGTTGCCCCTCGGCAAGCACTATGGGCTCCCCAGTCGCTCCCTTCCACATCCTGCTCCCGAAAGCCTTTGTATGGGAGTGTCGTTATCCAAACTTAACAGCGGGAAGAAGGATGCCTCCTAAACCCTAAACCCTAAACCCCTTATCATTTTCGAGCCTTCAATCAAGAACCGGGCAGCTCAAAGAGCGGGTTAACGGTTTAGGGTTTAGGGTTTAGGGTTTAGGGTTTAGGGAGACTGACGGTTCATGGTTTCGGGTTTGTGAGGTGTACCCATAGGCCCCGAAGTAGTTTCTTGGTGGGGTGCATAGAAAGATTTCTATAAGGTAATCCACAAAAGGAACTATTATGGGGCCTCTGGGTATAGATTATGGCAAAAGGTTTATGGTTCAGGGTTCAAGGGGTTTGAACTTAGGCCAGGTGGAAAACGTGGTGGGGGCCGTGGGCTGTGTTTTGGGAGGATCAGGGTATTAGTGATTAGTAAGTGCGGTTTCAAGTGCCCCGAAATACAGGTTATTTATGTTACAGTATACCCAGATAGACCCCATAGTAATTCCTTTTTGGGACTACCTTTTTAGAATTCGATATATGACCCCCACAAGGAACTACTTTGGGACCTATGGGTACCTTATAAAGCTGACCTTGAACCCCATTGGTTACGAGGTCCCATGATTCCTTATGCCGGGCTCGG